TGCTAAAAATGTGTTTTTCTGTCTGTCAAACTGTGCTATCTTTGATAGTTTTCTTGATTCAAAGACAAAAAGGGAAACAACCGTCTTTGAAAACATCAACATGTATTATAGTATCAGACCAAATGTCCCCACCTTTATTTGTTGGTAACTGAAGCCATCAGGAAGCCGTCATGTTCTAGTTTTAGGACCAAAGAGATACACGTACAAAGACTGTGCCATAGCCATGTGGGGCTTCAAGTCCCACCTACTTCCTTGGACACGGTTATGGTGTCAAATTATCTTTTTTAAAGGCATGAAAAACTGAAACAGCTAACTGTGTTAGAAAAATAACAAACATAGAGCTGTTCAATATATTGTAAATTTAGCGTGAATGCAATATCAGCATGTGCAATTCCAATATCACAAAGGACTGCAATAAAACAGAGACTATTACATTGTGAGTATTATCCGTTCATGTTCTGCTAATAATATATTTGGTCAATACAACGGTCTCTCACTGGCCTTAATGTGTTTGTCACAACAGATATCACCATTGCAACATTAAACAATAATATTGCGCATTACAAGTTTTCAGATATTGTGCAGCCTGGACAATAATTCGATATTGATATAGATCACGATATAATTTTATTCAATAACGGCGATATGAGTTTTAAGCACATTTTCGATATGATTACAACGTTTCACTGACGCATGTCTTTTTCTGTTTGGGTTGAAGCGGCCGCTTCAGTTTAAATCCAAACAGAAAAAGCTGCGACACAACTATGTGTGTGGTGACATAGCAGGCTGGGCTAGGCTAAGCTCCAACGCGCGGGAAGTTTTCGCTTCAAAATGACCGTCAGAATGTGACTGAACAAGCTTTCACAAGCGAACAGAAAGCAGATGACATAAATGATAAGAGAGGAAAGAATAATTTGACGGTGTGGAAGTGGTTCGGCTCTCTATAAGTGTGCTGCAAAAATGTGTTGGAGAGTCGTTCCAGCTAGCAGTGGGAACACATCGAACTTGTTTCATCTGAAGAGTTTCCACTCGATAGAATAAGCTGAGAGTCAGAAGATAAAGCACAATAAATGTTTGAGCCAACGTGTCCCTGAAACAACCCCCCCCAGCTGTATCAAAAGAGAAACACATGCAGCAAACGTTAGGTTATGTTGCTGTTTAGATTTAAAACTATTATTAATATTGACAAAGTTGAGTTTTATGATTATTTGACGGTGATTTCAAATTTCTTTTACAGTTAAATACAAATAAAAGGTGAACATTAATTTATTTGTACAGTTCGTACACTTTTCTGAGGCTTTTATATTATTTATATCGGTATCGTAATTAAATCGTTTTCAACCGAAATTAAGAAATATATCGTGATAAAAGTTTTGGCCTTATCGTCCAGCCTTAGTTAGATCATACAGCAGCAAGGTAAGAACAATAGTAGAGGAATCAATAGGAGTCATCAGGCTAACTAATAAAACATGTCTGGTGTTTGTTTTGCCATTAAATGCAAAGTCTTTATCATTTATTTGGAAAGTGCTGGGACCACCCAGTGACTACACTGTTCTTCTTGTGGCTTCCACTTCAGGGAACCCGCATGATGTCCAGCTCCCTTCACGTTGATGTTTGCGAGACAGAAAAACTGACAAAAGATCAAAAATCAAATTTAATGCTGTTACTTTATACTACGTTGTTTGTTGTGACTTGACACAACATTAGTCCATCCCATGAGTTTACATTTATATTTTTTAAACATATAGACACGTATATGTCTGCGTGCATGCATGTGCATGTGTGAGTGGAGACTAGGGCTGTATATGACCTGCTCCAGTTTTATTTTGATTTATAAGGCTGGTGGAGAGTATCATCACAGAATCGCTTCATCTTCTCTCCTTTATTACACCACATTTGTTTTCATTTTACTCCCAAGGCCTGGCTGAATACATTACAGATTTCCCATGGGGCTGCAGGGCCAGCTCCTCCACCACTGGAGACAATGGGATGACAGGGAGGGGGTTCTGAGCATGTTTCATCATTAGAGCCATTAGTAATATTTTTACTTTAAACCATTATCACTGGTTTCTCATTATTCTTGATATTAGGACGAGACACATTGGTCAAGTGCACCGTTTGCGTCTACAAATAAGAACAGCTCAAGCTAGTCGTAATAAATGGAAGGTTGGGCCATATCAAAATTTAAATTTAAATTCAAGACTGCATCTCAACATTAAACATTTTACTATAAGCAGAGATACAGATTTTTTTTTTCTCCTGTCTTCAGGGACTTCTGCTAAAACTGATTCAGTCAAGACAGTCACACCTACATCTCTGATCTCTATCGATACTCTGACTGCAGCTAACATTTGTTGTTTTCTTCATGCCTGAGGGTAATGTGAGACACAAAATTAGATTCAGCATTTGAAAGATAACTAAGAGCAGAACAGGAGAGTGAAGATAAACAACAATTGAGTTTAGCATACAGAGGTCAGTGGCAGGTTAATGCACAATGTAATACATACACTTTCCTATTGGGGGGTGAGGTCAATGAGTTGCTTTAAGGCTTGTTTGAATCTATCTGAACAAAGAATGTTAGATATCGGTTAGTTTGATGGAGCCCAATATTGAAGCCAGACTGATTAAACCCCACTATTTTACTTAATATTACTTCTATAATGGTGGTTTATTGTTTAAACAATCACAACGACCACTTTCCCTTTTTTACTTTTGTATTCCACACACAGCCACAATTGGTAGCAGTGGAAAAGACCCAAAATACTCTCACATGCCCTTCACACACCTTATTTTAACTTACAAACGGAGCCATTTCCTCCACCTCATACACAAGTCCAACATTCACAGCAGGCAGCAGAGCTGATAGCATCTACATCATTTTAGGGACATTCAAAAACACATACCAGCCAAGCCTTTCTCACAAACACATGGAGGAAAAGGTTCCTGCAACACTTTTCCATTATTGCCTTTCCAAGGACAAAAGTGGAAAAGAGGATAATGGAAAGCCAGAAAGTTGATCAGAAAAAATTAGATTAAACATAAAATACATGAAACACACTCATACTTAAAAGAGCAATACTGTTAGCAAATGTATGAAGCATTTTTGAAAGTGACAAACTCTTTGTGAGAACAGATGAGGCGTACCACTAATGAGAGTCCACTGGCTACTCAGCTGTGATATAAATCAGATGAACATGTAAATTTTATGTTTTTTAAATTCCTGGGGGTAAATCCATGCCTCATTCCTCTCCGCACCCTGAATAATAACCCCTCTGGTTTCTCCCCGTTTGAAGATTTGGGGGGATACCTGTCAATAAAATGACACCAGATTGACAGTTACTTTACGAATCAACATCCGAGATAAACCAAAAAGATGGATTTTTCTTTATTATAATCAGATATTGGTTTAAAAAAAAGGGGCATTTAATGCATTTAGATTTGAACGTTTTCTTATTCAAGCTGAACTCTTTTCTGAAACATGTTTATTGTCAATAAGTGTTTTTTTTTTTTGTTCTTGCAAATATTGTGATGGGTTTCATGAGTGGTAGACCAAAAGATGCTCAAGTTTCCGATAACTGCTGCCACCTTGTGGTTCAAAATAGAGCTGCAGCTCATTCATGGCTCATATTCTAACACCATAACTGTGTCGTCAGTCACAGCTGGACTATGAAGACTGACCTCATGCCTTTTCTCCCCAAGAAATAAGCCTCTTTTTTTGTTTATCTTAGGTCCAAAAACACAACATAACTGCACAAATATGTGTTTCAGTGTTTCATGATAAAGATCTCCCTCTACAGAATTGCTTCTAAATCCATAAGGTTGTTTCTCAAGAACAAAATAAAATAAAAATAATAAAAAGTAAAAATATATATATCATGTTTAATGGTAAAAGTACTTAAGATACCTGCATCACACAATGAAATATGAACATTTATAGAATATCATCACCTCTGAACCAAGAGGCTTTTCTGAGTGAAGTTTGCATGTTCTCCTTGCACAAGTGAATTTTGTTCAGACACTCTTGTTCCCCCCCCCCCCCCCCCCCACACACACACACACAGAGCAAAAACATGCATGCTAGGCTAAATGGTAACTCTAAATTATCCCTGTGTGTGGGTGAGAGGGTGAATGGTTGTTTTCTTTGTCTCCATGCGGCCTTGTGATGGACTGGAGACCTGTCCAGGGTGTACCCTGCCTCTCACACAGTGACTGCTGAACACGGGCACCAGAAGCCCCCATCACCACCCACCCACCCCCCGTAAAAGAGAAGATGGTAAAGGAAATGGATGATGGATTGATGGACGTTAGAACATGATATCTGATGTGCACCTCTGGATGTCGCCAGTAGATGGCAGTATAGGATTGTAGTGTGAACTCTGGCGCCTCTGTTGCAACTCAATGAAATGGCAGAGGATAAAATTCATGTTTGTATTTAAAAATGAACTTTGCAAATCATGTAGCTTTACAACTCTTAAACTATGTTTATATAAGTGTATTAAAATGTTTTATGGTTTCTTGTATTTACTGAACACTTAAGTTTCATTAAACTTAACAAAAACCAGCTTTCTCACGTGAACTTGTTTACCTGGAAGCTAGTCAAAGCAAACCAAAATTATAGTTTGATTAATTTAGGATATTCAAACACCAAATTTCTCTTAAGTATTTTAATTTTGCATTTTTTTATTGATTTACTTTTTTTTTTTTTTCAAGCAAAGTTTAAAACTACAAGCTCTTCATCAACTGTACTAACATTAACAAGAGTTGTTTCTGCAGTGCTTTGATCATTTGTTGAAAAAGAGGAGAATTAACTTTAGCATGTTGATGGATACAATCATTCAAGTTTAACTAATAAAGCGGAAAAAACAAGCTAAATATATACAGTATATAAAAAAAGAGTTGCAGGCACAAGGACCCAGCCTCCTCTATGCAGCTCTGCTTCCCGTTTGTGTACATGGATATTTGTCCAAACAGGATTTCAGGAGCCCAGTTTGTTGCAATAAATGACCATGGAGACATATCGGTACACACTAGCTGTGTTGATTGCACTGACTGGGTTTGGGCCGTCTTATTCAGGTTTGACTTCAGACATTGGTAAGTTAGATGATTTTTCCCTAGATGTATTTGATTTTATCATCTGTCAGTTTCACATTTTTTTCAAATCTTATTAAAATATAATGAAAAAAAAATTTCAGGTCCTCCTTTAAAACCAGGCCAGTGCCCTCGCTTTCTTTTTACCTTCCCATCACGGTTGGGATGCACATCAGACCAAGACTGTCCTGGAGATCACAAATGCTGCACCTATCATTGTGGATCTGTCTGTGTGGGTCCTGTTTACAGTAAGAACCACAACATCTGCTCATTAGCACTAATATCTTTTACTAAAGCCTCTCAGCGAGCAAAGCAATGTACAGTAGGAAAAAAAGCAGGATTTTTTTTTATTAAAAACTGGGCATTATTTAATTTATTGCCTTTTCTTTCCCTTAAGTAAAGGCATTGTGTCCTGATACAAGTGGGACAGGGACGTGTGATGAGCTGTGCATTAATGACAATGACTGCATAAATGGTAAAAAATGCTGCTACAATGGGTGCGGATATGAGTGCATGCCACCAAAAATAGGTGAGATATAAACAATTTAGTAAAACGGCTTAACAAATCTTTCTCTTTGCCTCCTGGAGTATTGTGCAACTGAATGTTTCTGTGTCTGGTGTGCCAGTGAAACCAGGTCACTGCGGTTTCATCCCCTTTCAGCCATGCGGGGACAGCTGCTATCATGATGGATATTGTGCAGGTGATGAAAAGTGCTGCCCATCATTTTGTGGCCATTTCTGCAAAAATCCAATTTGACATTCAGCATCGGAGGTGCATCGTAAACCATAAGTAGCATGTACTTGCAGGAGAACTGATTAAATATTTCTTTTATCGCTTGTTTTGTGTGCGTTTTCTTTTTAACTCCTCACTTACGTGGCAACAGATTTGTTTGGCAAAACGCTCAAGTTTGTCGTTTTTATGCAGTTAAATTATATTCATGAGGAAGATAATGTAATATTTGCTGTTTTTTTTATTGGACACACCTCCATCTTTAGTTATCTGAAAAAAATGAGGATTTAGTAGGAAGGTTGCCAGGTAGGCATAAAGTCTTGTAGCATATTTGTAAAAAAATAAAATAAAATAAAAAAAAGTATTTTTATCAAATGCTTAAATAAGTGGTGTCAAATAAGATCCATCCAAGAGACTCATTGGTGGATTATTTCATCAGTTAAACTCATATGGGGGAGTGGTGGCGCAGAGGTTAGAGAGGTGGGCCTGTGATCCGAAGATCGCCGCTTCACGCACCGGACCCGACAACATCAAAATTGTGGGTGGGATAGGGGAAGTACCCACACTTGCCCCCATCCTCATTCGCCCCACTCTGGGCCCATGAGCATGGCCCTTAACCCCCATCTGCTCCCTAAATAGGTCTCTTGTGAAAATGAGTTCTCGTGGCTCAATGAGACTACCTGTAGAAATAAAGACTAAATTAAAAAAAAATTATATAATAAAAAATAGCATTAAATCTTTAGTCGTCAGCCTGACGGACGTCAAATGGTTTAATTAGCCAAGAATACAACAAAGTGCCTAAACGTTTAGTTAAGTTTGTAAAGTTACACAGGCAAAATTAACATAAATAGTTTGGTTTATTTAGCCTTTAATAAGAAAAATAATTATATATATATATATATATATATATATATATATATATATTAAAAAGATAAATAAACCAAACTATTTCTGTTAATTTTACAAAATAAATATATAATGCTTTTTTTCAAAGTCATATTTTCACTGTGTTATTCATACATTTATAAATGTCATAATTCCAAACTAAACATTTAATTTACAAGCTAAAATTTAGTTCACAAACTAAGTATATAACTTGCAAGTTAAACTAAACATTTAGGAGTAAATTAAATATTTAATTTCCAAGCTAAATATTTATTTTCAAAACTAAACATTTATTGTCCAAGATAAATATTTAATTTCCAAACTAAACATTTAATTTCTAAGCTAAACATTTAATTCCTAAACTAAATATTTAATTTGCTTACTAAATAATTAGTTAGTAAATTAAATATGTATTTTTGGATTTATTTTATCTTCTTTATTTTAAATACTTAGCTTGTAAATTAAATATTCAATTTACACATAAATATATAGTTTTATAACTAAATATTTAACTTTCAAGATAAGTATTTAGTTTGTAAATTAAATATTTAGCTTGTAAATTTTGGAACTATGACATTTATAAATGTATGAATGACATGGTGAAATAATGACTTAGAAAAAATAAAAGTCTTACTTTTTTTCTTATAAAAAGCTAAATAAACCAAAATATTGATGTTATTTTTTGACTGTGTAACTTTACAAACGGCCTCCCATCCAGATGTGATAAACTTACTTGTGCAATAATCATGCTGTCTAATCAGCATCTTAATTTTCCACTCCTGTGAGGTGATGGATTATCTTGGCAAAGGAGAAGTGCTCACTGACACAGATTTACACACATTTGTGAACAATATTTAAGAAGAAAAAGTCATTTTGTGTACACAGATAAAGTCTTAAATCTTTGAGTTCAGCTTGTGAAAAATGGGAGCACAACAACTGAACAGGTTTGTCCAAATGGTGTGGACAAATATTTTTAACTATAAATTGTTAGGAATAAAATAACTTTTGATGATAAATTATGGAAAATAACATAATATGGGTTGGTGAATATAAGGTTTAATTATGTATTATGGAACATAGATCATATAAAGATGACTAGAATATCTGTCAGATGTGCAAACTAGGCCATGAGCTGATAAATAATATCTTTTTAGTGACTGCTTACTTTTAAAATCAACCATGACACTTTCTGCTGTCAGTAGGAAAATAGTTCCTTATAAGGCCTTTAATGAGAAAACAAAATAACTCAAAGGTTCTTGTTCAGTTAAATAATATTAACTACAAAGGTAGATTATAGTTCAGAAGGGGCCCCTTGATGTCAGATAATATGTACACAATTCTCTCTTGTTCACACATTTTGAAGTCTGTAAAAATAAAGATGTTTAATTCTGACATAAGCGTGTTCTTTCCGAGCAAACTACCCGGGCAGGGGAAGAGGAGATAAGGGCATTGTTTCCCCTTAAAAAGTCTGTGCAAAAAATTCTACAGAAAATTGCTAAATAAATATTTCTTCAATGCATGCGTTATCATTTAGACTTTGATGTTGAAAAACTAGGTTTTTAGAGTCATAATGTCATTTCGACCCCATCACTGTGACCTTATTGTGTCACTATCTTATCTCTCCTGGCAGGATGACTGCAAACAGCAGGTCTAAATACCAAAGTTCATGCTCAATAATCCGCAGGTCTAAACATTTTATTTACTGAAAGTGCTGGCAGGACATGACGCAAAAAAAAGTTGTCATGTAGAAATTAATCACAAGGAATCAGATCAGATTTATGAGTTTCATAAAAGCACAGGTTGCAGAAACTTCCAGTCAGACAGAAGAAAATCATCATCAGCATTAACACTCACATGCTGTGAATATTTTTTGTTGTTGTTTTTGCCATTTATTGTTTCTTAATTTACACAACACTGAATCTAAAACAATCATTTTATCCTGATTCATGCTCAATAATCCAGGTAGAAAAAAATCCAACAAAGTTAAGTCAAGTCCTCTGCACAGATTCTTTTTTTGTCTTTCATCCAGAAGACTTCATCAGTCCGAGGAGCCACAACAAACTCAGTCTTGTAAATTGCACCTTGACATAGTGGATCAACCAGTTTGATGGTGCTCAACTGGTTTCTGGAGTCTGCCTTCTCCCCCGCTGACTTGTTGTAGGCAGGCATGGCCAAAGTGGTTCAAAACATCCTGATTCTAGAATTAATCAGGATTTTTTGAACCACTTTGGCCATGGCTGCTTCAAATGAGTCAGCGGGGGAGAGGGTGGACTCCAGAACAGTAACCATCTTAGCATCAAACTGGTTGACCCACTATGTGAAGGTGTAATTTACAAGACTGAGTTTGTTGTGGCTCCTCGGACTGATGAAGTCTTTTGGATGAAAAGCGAAAGGTTTCAACAAAAATAAACCGTCCAGAGGACCTGCCTTAACTTTGTTGGAATCTGTATAAACATTTGGAATTTGGAAATGTAAAGATATAAACGGGATTTGTTTGATTGATTTCATCAATCTCTCCATTCATACTTTTTTTTTTTTACTTGATTGTTCCTATTCAGTGTGGCAGGCACACACTGAACAGGTTGCCAGTCCATCACAGGACCACACAGCGATGAAGAAGAACATCAGATTTTAATGCTCACACCTAGTGACATTAAGAGCAGCCAGTTACCCAGATAGTTTGTCTGTTGACTGGAACAAAGTCTGTCACACATGAACAGACAGCACAGTCAAGCTAGGAAACAAACAAACAAACAAAACAAAAAAAGCTTCTGTCAAGAGTCAATTTTTCTTGTTACACAGCTGCGGTGGTAACCAGTGATGTAAAGGTTTAGAGTCTACAACATTCCCATCGAAGGCTACAGTCTAACCAATTAGGCCTGAATTTTTATTTCTACTATGGATCTGTCTGCAGTGTGAGACAAACTATTCACTAAAATAACTAACAGATTGTGTGAATTCTCACAAACTCCCCCATGTTTCCTCATGAAGGAGTTTTTCCTTTCCACTGTTGCCTTTATGCTTGCTCAGGATGAGCGTCTGCGACAAAGTTAGACTCAACGCAAACTGCTCCTCAGATAAATAATATTATTAACTTACTTTTTTATGTTTATGAATGTTTCTGTTCAGTGCACTGAGATGACTTCTGTTGGGACTTGGCGCTATATAAAAAAACTGAATTGATTTGTTTTTAATGTAAATTAAATAATTCTAAAAAAAGACAGTCCCCTAAGTAGAAACATTCTCTCAAATTCACAACTTTTTCTTACATTTTGTTATTGAATGTTTTTGCATAAGCTGGTTAAGCTTTTCTCAGCAACTCTCAGGTGTCCAGTTCCAGGAGTATACAGGTTGTAAAGAGCACTCTGGTGACAGTGAATGACCAGTTATGTGGTTGGTGCTGGTTTCCCTCACCGCCCTAATTGTTGCCACAATGATATTGATTGTGGTGAAGAGAAGGAATGCTGTCAGAAAAGATGTGGTTGTTCCTATGAACACTGTAGTGAAGTGTAGTGTCGGAGGTCTAGTTCACTACAACACCCCCAGCCGGCTTTTTCTAGATTCTCCATCACAGAAAAAACAAGCTGTTTGTTTTCCGTCTGATGTTAAAAGTGGACAAAAATGTTTTAACTTTTGTGTGTGTGTTTCTGTTTCATTGCCCTATTTCTTGCAATAAAATATGTCAAACAATCTTTGCAAGTTGTACTTTTAACAAAACTATATATAATATATATAATAATACTCATTGCCAGAAAAATCAACATGTTTATATATTACTTCACTAGATTTAAACATTTAATTAATTCCATGAGAAAATATTCACATTTACTGATATCTGCAAGAGTAAAAGTACATTACAAATTTTGGTCATTCAAAAGTATTGTTTCCCTTTATTTGTACATTAATAAAAAATGTCCAAGTATTTTCATTATAGATTTATTGAACAACATTTTTTATAAGCTTAAACCCAGAGTGAGGCAAGCATTTCATAAATTAGGAGTTGTGTTATTTTGATGACAATGAGAAACTGCCAAAAAAAGGAAAATTATTAAAGACTAAAAGTCAAATACAGCAAAACCTACAATAATAGTACAACATAAATAAATTAGTCACAAACTGGCACAAATGTAGAAAAAAAGTGTG